TGAAAGGCATAAAAAACCCAATAAAATGAAAAATCATTGAACAATTAATTGATAAAAATCAACAGCACGAGAAAATTAACAATCAGCCCATTATATGTATTTCTATCACGCCTTATCCATGAGGAAGACATTCTTTTAATTCATATTATATAACGAAATTTAAATCTATTTGTATATTTGTTTAATACATTAACATCGATAAACCGATTTATACTAAACATTTGCCTAATGGTCGACTAAATTTATAAAACAATAAACTTTATCCTGTTATTCACTTAACTTATAATTAAAACAAAGAACATTTTGCCAGAAACTTAACAATTAGACTTTAAACCGCGTTTTCAATATCACCTTTCAATAAACTAAAGAAAAATAACAATATAAATTTTAAACAGTAATATTAATGCAATCTGACGCCATTGAAGCGTTGCAGTAAAACACTGAATATAGTCAATATTTAAAATTCATGATAATTAAATTTTAAATAAAACTAGTTTTAACGGGTTAACGCACGAAATTTATTTATTTATTGACGTGCCGCAGCCTTTTCTAGCTGGTGGTATATACCAATCATCTTCTCTATTGAAATTTGGATATTTTTGAATCTCAATAGCCTCGCGTCTCATTCTAGGAATGAATCGTTGCTCCGTTGCAATCTGATGTAATGGTTTGGTCCCCCTAATGCATGTTCAGGGACAGCTCCGGAACCCGTTATACAACAGATAAAATCATTTTCGTGCATTAACCCGTTAAAACTAGTTTTATTTAATGAATGATATGCGTGAAAACCTAAGAAACAAATAAATTAAATTTTATTTACATTTACTGCTAAAATTGCTTTTATGAGAGAGGAAGGATATTGGAGTGCCCTTCTGGGGAAGTAATTTCCACTTTACAGAAGATCTTTTGGTGGCGTTGTGTTCAGGGGTCCACGGGGGGGGGGGGATTATTGTGATTAGTGATATTGTTGGTGTCACAAGCGTCTATAGGCTATGGTAGTCGCTTACCATCAGGCGGGTCGATATGGTGACGATTTGCTGAGACGTTATAATCTTTTCTAACAAAAAAAAGAATTGATGTGGTGTCGTGGGACACCAGGTAGGAACGAAGTTCCTTCGGCTAATGTAGAATCGACACAAATTGCAAACTCGCTTGTGGATGCGACTGTCGCGCCTGCGCACATCTCATTTAACGGTTTCATTCCACGCACTTTTTTCCACGGATTTACGGTTTTACTATCACATTTTTTTCAGTTCGGTCGCGCAGCAAAATCCCTATCCCCTCCAAGCCTGCCGTAAGGAACTTCGTTCCAAAAAGTCAAGAGATTAAATAATCAGATATTGACAATTATACGTTTATTTTCAACAGCTTTAATGACTGTTTTTTTACATTTTTTCGTGAAATTAATAAAAATAAATATTTTATATTACACTGGTAACACTGTAGATGAACGATTCAAAAATGCGGAAAGTCAGTATCATGCGACTTGGAAGACGAAAGTGACTTAAGTCATATTCGACGATACTACGAGTATGTCAGACGAGCGAATTAAAAATAGAGCTCCCGAAGTGAGCCATAATAACATAAAAATTAAACACAAGTGACATAAAGGACTTTTTGGGGGGATCGGGAAGCGTCACTTTAGCAGTTTTGTTTTTCTTGTTAAAAATTGTGTTGTGGCGGATGTTAGTGTCTAATAATGGTGGATTATTAACCACTAAGTGTTCGGGAACATGCACAAGTGTTGGCAAGTGAAACGAAATAGCGGAAAGTGTCTTTCGACGTTCCCTCAACAAGTCCACGGGGAGGTTCCAGTAAATCCCCACACATTTACTGAAACATGGGGAAAGGGGGATTGACTTGACTGCCGCTTACTTTGACTTGACTTATTACTTTGACCACGAGTGCTACAGTATTTGTAAACATTTTAACACTAGACATTGGCTAAATGCACAAGCCGTGCGAAACCATTATAAAAAAAAGGGACATTAAGGAAGCATTAAATTAATTTGTCGTTTCGAAGTACGCAGTAAGACTAAATAGTCTTACTGCGTACTTCGAAACGACAAATGTGGGTATGTGAAACTCTTACAGTATCTAATTATTGTCCATTCCCTAAGCGAATAGTTTTTCTAAAATAAAAATGAAGAGATCGAATACTTTTTTAAACAGAATAGGTACTTTTATTTGGAATAAAAATAAATATATCGTTGTTTCTGGATGGTAGTGTTATCGCAATAGATTGGATTATCGATAGAATAGATACTTCGTAATTTTCCAATCCTGTCACAACATCGATAGACTTATCGATATCGATAGTTTATTGAAAGACATCTAACAAGAGTGTCGATATAAGTATTTGAATTTTCAGTGTGTAAAATTGGCTTGTAAACATAATACGCCATCAAGCAAAAGAAAATACCAATCCTGGCAAGGGCGGAGGGCTGGGTCCATCTGTACCGACTTCACAATCTGTACCCACTATGACTTGACCACGACTATTGACCCCCCCCCCCCCCCCCCCCCCCCGACGCCAAAGCTTCATCTGCCCTTGAATCCTGGTCCCACTAAGGTTTCACCTTCCAATAGCTATGTGTGTGACATCGTTAGATTGGTATTTTTAGTATATTTATTTTTAAGGTTTTGAGGCACATCACTCATTTAAATAAAACAAGTTTCAAGTGATTAGATGCACTGATTTTGTTTATTTATGACATTTTCCAGCCTTCGCATGAATGCGTCGTGGGAATGTTTTTTTTTCTACTTTGTCGAGCTACCTTCGAAAGATCTTTATTGAGCGTTCGGATATTTCATTGGAAGACAAAAGAAGTTTTAAAAATCTTCCAATGAAATATCCGAACGCTCAATAAAAGTCTTCCGAAGATAGCTCGACAATGTAAATAAAAAAAAAGCTATAGGATATTTGACAATATTAAAAATAAAGTGCCAATTGTTATCATCTGTGTTTAGAATGAGTATTGACAGGGGTTTTTACTATTTTTATAAAAAAAATATTCATAATTTTACTAAAAACCCACGAAAAAGTAATAGTTTTCTTATCTATTATCACGTGACCCGAAACGCTCGGGATTGGCGGAGCTTAAAATGACGTCATACGCAAGTAAACTTCCGGTTAAAGTGACATTACATTGTATCGTTTCACGTTTTAATAACAGTCGTGTGACGTCACATACTAGTGAGACGCCATATTGTCCAGAGAAACGTTTTCGCGGCAATTTGAAAATGGAGTTTTTGATTTGGTTATTTTTACTGAAATACACAACAGAATGATGAATATCCACTTTTTACGGACTCCATAAACATTAGTCAATAACGTGAGATCGTTTTCTAAAACTTGTCAAATACCATTTACCAGTTAGTGACCATGAAAGTTCAAAAACAATATATTGTCAAATACCCTATTCCGACGACACATTCCTGCAAAGATCGATGCGAAATGTCATAAATAAATAAAATCAGTGCATCTAACTGGTATTTTTAATCTGAATAAAAGTTACTATGGCGCCACGTTACAAATCTTATTCCGTTCTGAGTTATCCTTAATTAATCGTGGCAGTTTTAGCAGAAGCCGTGTAATGCTATTTTTATATATTTACTGTATTTCTGTGCTTTGTACACGTATAGTCAAATCAATCAAATACTCTACAAGCTTGAATCGATTCATAGTAAGCATCGTGCACCGATTCGTATGGTACATCACTAGTTACGCCACGATGACAAATGTCAAAACGGGCTCCTTATTTTGTGACGACTGTAGTATAGTTAATGTACAGGTATATCAATTGCGACATTAGTGTCTAACCTTTCTATCAGTCTGTCTCACTCGCACTCATTAAACAGGCCCTGCCTTATTTTCAAATGCCGGCATTGTAAACGACGATAAATAAATAAATGTGTGTTTTTCAAATATGTTATCGTTGTTTTTTTTTTTAAAAAAGCATTTGTCAAAGTTAGACTCTGTGCGGAAAGAAAATGGGATTTAGATTGGAGGGCGCTGTAGTGCTTTTCTACCGTATTTGTAAGGTTTTACCCCTTTTAGACATAATTAAATACAAAAAACCGCAAGAAATCACAACAACAAACAAATCCGTATCAATACAAAACTTTGACGTATTCTAGATTGCTGGGTTTGATTGCCAAATAGAAATCTTAATGTTAGTTCCGTTTTTCGCCACGCCCATTCTCTTTCCGCACAGACTCTTATCATTAACATTTTCGTGAATATTAAAATTTATCAACATTTTGAATCTTATGTTACTATGTTTAATTACGAATAACTCAGAACGGACTAAGAATTGGAATTTGGGGCTATAATAACTTTTATTCAGCTTAAAATTACCTATTCAACGATGTAACACACATAGCTATCGGAAGACGGGACCACGGGGCCATTCGCCTAACGGAAATGTTTTGGAAAACGCTAACGCTTACGATTTCATTTTGTTATTTCTAGCCGCATGTGGTTTTCAAATGCCTCGCGCTCTTTTTTTCCTTTTGCATTGGTAATAACAATATTTTAAAAAATGAGCGTGAGGTATTTGAAAAGCTTCCGCGGTCAGAAATAACAAAATAAAATCGAAAGCGTTAGCGTTTTCCTAAGCATTTCCGTTAGGCGAATGGCCCCCAGATTTCTTACAAGCCTTGACATCATCCTTTTTAAAAAAATATTCAATTATTTTTTTTTTACCATCGATTCTAGAGTCTTATCGATATCGTGAATAGTTTTCAATTATCGATATACCTTCAACACTATCGGGAAACATATTACTGATGATAATCTTTTCCCAAGCATTGAAGACGTTGATGGGACGAAGATTTTTGTTGGTAAGGTAGTCTGGGAAGTTTCCGGCTAGCTGTCACTGTGAACTTGATCTATGTAACTTGTGAGCTGATAAATAAATGTGATTGTTGAGTTTTTAATTCTATTGGTATTTTTATTCATTACGATAGGTCATTTCAGTATGTACAGACTTCGTTCGCTACCAGTGTAGTGCCCTCGCCAAGTCTCTTAAAGAACTCCTTATGGCATCGTAGGTGGCGAAAGATATGCCGACGGCTATGGGGCCTTTCACCCAGTTCATACTCAGACCTTTGAAGAAACCGCGCCAGCCTTCAGACCTGCGGGTGCAGGGAGAAACCATCTCGTGTTAAGAACTTTGAGAAAATTGATTTTCGGTAATGAAACTTCATAGAATCCGTAAAAACGTGAGGAATATAAATACTTATCCATTATAGCTCTTCGTATTAAGAGGTTAAGAAAAATATCAAGAAATAAAAAAAAACAGCGTGTGTACATAGTACGTACGGCAGAAACGAAATAATTTAAAACACCTAAAAATTTAACAAAAGTAATCTGAAATTTCGTTAGAAAAAGTACGTGCATGTTGTGTAAGTTTTTTAACAGATGGCGCTGTTCATACATCTACATCGCGGTATGGTTTGGTATAACGATCTTGATATATACGCACAAAGTTTTGAATGTGGTTTTGTACAAAGAGGAACATTAAAATAAGTATATAACTTGCTTTTCTTTCTTTCTAGTTGTTAACATCTATCCGTTCTTTATAATTTAATATCGTCGCACTAAAATCGTGACGCGGCCTTGATTATTTCACATGGTGAACAGTTTGCGAGTGCGAAAAACTGTCACTGTCAAATTTACGTAATGAGAACTAAAAATCAATATATATTAGACGTAAGAAATAGATCGAATTCAATAATGGTTCGTGCATTAGCCGAATCGTGTCGCGATTGCCCCGTATTTTCCGTTCTAGCTGTCCACATGCAACATTGCATCTAGCATCTTTTGCTACAACCTGTCATCGCTTGCTCTTTTTGCCAAAACTTTCCACTTACCTATAAACATGCCTGATGGTGTCCGGTATAGTCTCGCGCAGGTATCGTCCTATATTATTATGTTCTCATATCACCTTCTCTACACACGATAAAACTGCTTCAAATGCGTCGCCACTACTTGTCACCGTTTGCCATTTGTTGCGATATTAAAACTTGCCATTTGTTGCAACTTACCTATAAATATGCCTGATAGGGTTCGGTATGGGACCCGCGCATGTATCAGCCAGTTTGCAACCACTTGCCACCATTTGCCACAAGTTGCCACTTACCTATAAACGCGTCCGATGCGTCCGGTATAGTCCCGCACGCGTATCGCACAGTTTGCCACTATTTGCCACACCTTGCCACAAGTTGCCGCTTACCTATAAACGCGTCCGATGCGCCCGGTATAGTCCCGCGCGTGTATCGCACGTTTTGCTACTATTTGCCAGTTTTTGCCACACCTTGCCACAAGTTGCCACTTACCTATGAACGCGTCCGATGCGTTCGCTATAGTCCCGCGCACGTTTCGACCGGTTTGCCATTATTTGCCAGTTTTTGCCACAAGTTGCCACCGTTTGCCTGCACGTGCCCGCTTACCTGTAGACGTGCCTGACGGTCCCGGGTATGGTCCCGCACGCATATCTCCCCGCGGCGTCAGGCCTGGCGGTCTGCATGCGGCGCCGCACGATGTCCAGCGGGTATGACGCGGTCTGCGCGACGGCCCCGGCGGCGCCGCCGCAACACATATTCACTAGGGCGTTGTGTTTACCCTCCATTTTTTCTGAGATAGATAGATAAATAGATACATTATTCTGTTCCTTTGAGAGATCGTCGAAGTATGTTCGAGCGATATTTTTTGATATCTGTGGGGTCTTTGATGATGCTCGGCGGCCCATGATCCTGCTCAAGGTGAAACGCGGGGGATGTCCGCTCAACATCTTTAGGATGTTGGCGGATTACTTCGTCAATCGCCGTGTGGGCTTCGTGGGTGATCGGGTAGTGTGGAAGGCGGCGACGATGGGTCGGGACAGACCCTCTGGAACGAGCTCATGGCCGACTCGCTTCGACTACCACTACCCGGGGGATATCCTGATCGAATCCGGATCCCAGGCGAGCATAGAAGCCGCGGCCTCTACGGTTTTGCAGCTCATCGGTGAGCGGGGGACCCGTAATAGGCTGGACTTCCCTCCTGCAAAGTTTGCAACTATGACGATCAGGGGGAAATTCCGGCGGCCACCCATCATCCGGTTCGGAGGGAATTCCATCAGGAGCGTGACATCGACCACCGTGTCGGATGCGATAGGGGAAAGGGCGGCGAATCGCTTCGGCGAGATGTCGAAAGTATCGGCGGCTTCTTGGGGAGTTCGGTACGAGGTCTTGAAGGTTTTGTACCGCGGCACTTGCATCGCCACGGTGACGTATGCTGCGGCATGTCTGTCGCTTTCCCGGTGTTTTACCGGCCGACCTCGAGGTAATGAGGGCGGGCAGACTAAGTGGGGCACGCGAGTCCGCGGCTTATTTTTGATGACATGGGGGGGGGGGGGGGGGGGGTAAAGATGGTGATTACGACAGCATCATCGATTAAGCCTTTTTGAGTACTGCTGCTCATGAAGCCCATGAAAGCTCATGAATCAAAAAAAAAACAGAAAACATTAAAGGAAAAATGCATATCTGGTACTATCTAGGTACCTATCATTGTTTACGTAAGGATGGGGGGGAGGGGTAAGAGCTTTGCTTACTTTTGCTGACGAGGGGGAGGAGGGGGTAAATAATTGCAATAAATCTGCTTACGTAATACTTGAACGGCCCCAGAGCGCCAAACTCGGGGTCACCGAGTACGTCCTTGCCGAATGGCAGGGGCGTTGGGACGCATCGAACCAGGGGAGGGAGTTGTATTGATTTTTCCCAGGAGTGGAGGCTCGACTAAAGGCCACTTGGGTCGAGCCTGACTATGAAACTTTGCAACTGCGGACGAGACACGACTGTTTCTAGAGTCCGCATCACACAAATTTTGTTTGAAATCAAATACGGCAATGTCGGCGGGTGCGGGCAGGGAGTCGCGTTTTGATTGGACACGTCAAGGTCAGATGATAAACTCAGTGCATCGAAGTGATGAGGGTATGATCGATTAAAAAGTGAAACTTCTTTATGGCCTTATTTTTTTCGAAAAATGATCTACATGCAACTTTCCAGAAATATATATATAGGCGTGCGCTAAGATTTTTCAAAAACTCACCCACTAAAGGGGTATAACTACACCTTACCTTACCTTACCTTACCTTATAAATCATAAAACACACTTAGTAAAACCCTAAATACTAATAACTAATACTATTTACTAAAACACATATATAACGAAAACTGAAATCAAGCTTAATACCAAAGGCGCAGTCCGTAAGCGCCCGCGGTATATTAGCATCTTCTTAAGCTAATCTCATATCAACCTACCTTACCTTACCTTACCTTACCTTACCTTACCTTACCTTACCTTACCTTACCTTACCTTACTTTACCTTACCTTACCTTGTGTGAAACACGAATATTTGCTGTCGATACTTTTTTTTTTAAAGTTGACAGAAGAAGCAATTGTTCGGATGAGGTAAATAGTGCTCTTTTAAAAAAAAGATGGCGCGTAACCAAAAAACGTGACGCGTGACCGAAAAAAATGTGACGGTAAATTTTTTTCCAACGCCGATAAAGAAGTTTCACTTCAATTATCGATACTTTCTGTCGATAACCAATTTAGTATAGAGGCCTTCGTTGCGCGAGTGTAGTCATGCCACCATTTTTTTCCAGCGTTCCTTTTAAAAGACGCGACCGGTTCACGAAGTTTGCCGTGCTTCACGCATAGGTAAAATTCTACTTAAGCTTGGCGTAAGCGGTTGACCTTGTATGCGGACTCTAGTGGGGGTGCTCTATGGCTTCACCGAACGAAGCTCGCGGAGGTGGGGTCGTGCTACTGCGGGGAGAGAGAAGTAGAGAACGCATCCCACGCTCTGTAGAAGTGTGAGTTCTACGGGGAGGCGCGTAGGGAACTTCTGTGAGGTTGCCCCGAGAATTTGTTGGAAGTAATAGAAATTCCTTAGATGTATCCGGGAAATAAATCGTATAAACTAATTTCGAAAACATGTTAGTGATTTTTTAAACGTTTTTTTTTAAATAACGTGGATTTTGATCGAGGCCAGTGTTATTATTATAATACAGTCGAAACCGGATATAACGACATTGAAGGGACCATATAATTTCGGACGTTATGTCCGATACTTGTTATAAGCAATATACACAAGAAGTCACATTATTGTCATGTATGTATGTAGTATGGTTAAAGATAAAGAATATAAGGGGACAGTGTGAAGGTGGTCGGGGTTGGGCCGGTCTACTGTCGCGACCTTGTGGGATAGGAAGCGAACTTCAGGCGGCTGCGGGATTTCGCGCGTAGATGGCACTAGATTCGGAGTGGACTCGACAGGTGAAGAAAGAAGACCCGAGGCGAAGAGAGAAGAGGACCGTACAATTGGAGGCAGCGGTACCGCTTCAGCGTGGGTATGGGACGGCTGGAATAGGCTAGTTTACTCATGTCGAATTGTATTAAATAAATGTTTATTTCTTAAAGTGTTTAGTCTAAGGAACCTTAATAAATCGATTTCACTTCATAAAAGCAGAAGATTGCTGTAGAAATTTAATTTTAAAAAATATTTTTTAGTCTATATTTTTTAAACACTAAAAACGCTGTTCGCCACATTCGCCATGATTTTGACGTCTCTTGTGGTAAACAACTAAATGTCATTCGCGTGTTACTGTAGGTGGATTCTTTCGTCTGACTAAATTTATCTTAAAACACTTTTAACTTTAGGAAAGAAAAAACAGTAAACTTAGTTTTTTTTGACTAAACAAATTATGGATGCTGGCTTTGTGAAAGCAGAAATCACAAATCTGCCAAGAATTGACGCATTGATGGTTGGTGAATTTGTTGCACTAAACCCCGATTTCTGCTCTGCGGAGCAGAGAAACGACAAGGCATCTATGTAAGTACAGTGCATTTAGTATTACAATGTAGTAATAAACATAAAACTGATACAACATATGAATAAGTGTAATAAAGTTGCGTAGGTTAATTTCTTTCGGCACTTTTAATCCACAACTTTCCTGGAGTCTTCAAGGATGTGTTTTTATATTCTCGTACAATACAGTAATGATAATTACTTTATTTTTCGTGGTATTTATCAGAAATCATGTTTTTTTTTTATTATAAACTCAGTTAAAAGTAATTTTCTACGTGTTTACGAGTTTTTGTTTACCACAGTTCACGTCATAGCATAGACAATCTATAGACTTAAATGGCCGACAGCGTTTTTGTATGTCCATGAAAAGTCTATTTTAAAATTAAAGCTTTCTAGGTTTAAAAAAAATACAATACATTTTTTTTCGGTCTAATAGAACATTATTAACCATTTAAAACCTTTTTCCAAAAAGGGTCAACTAGCCTATTACGAAGAAGGCGTTTCGTATACGTCCGGCCCAGAAAGGGGAGAGGGACCATAGGGACAAGGAGATAGATAAAGAATAATTTGTAGGGAGTCTAGAAAGTACGCGCGGTGGAGGCCGTTCCGCGCGTATCTACAACCATTACATTACAAGGCCGTTACAACACGAGGCGGCAAGTACAAAATAGGATGCTATTTAATTGTCTCGACTTGCTGATGTTATAATAATTGTAAGGTTGTAGCGAGACCGGCTACATCCGCAACATTAGGGGTTGGAAATTAAAATGAAAAATTAATTCCCAAGACGTATAAAAGAGCAATCACACAGACAGAAAATAAGGAATATATTAGCCGCCTTACCTTATTCCCTCGAACGAATGTCCCTCAGTTCCAAGACACACTAGAAAACACGGCACAGTATTTTTGTGGTGTTTCACAGGAGATCGCACACGTAATAATTCACAAAAATATAGCTTTTCTAATCACATATCAAACATACGAAAATTCGTAAGACACCAACCGCCACGTTAACAATGAGGGCTACCGTTTTCTGCCTCACCAGATGGCGCCACTGTTGAGTGAGGTCCTAAATTGTAACTTTTAAAGTTTATTAATACGCACATGAAATCAAAGGTTACATTTAGATCGTATTTTAACACAAAAGAACCATATCCTAAACATAATAGGCCATGCCACAGTGACGCGCAGTTCCGTTTTATTCGGAAAAAATGGGAACATAATCATTTTTCTAAGCTCAAATTTTTAATAACTGACATTCATTGCCACATAACTCATATTTGCCATAATTAAGCCGAATTGTTACCAATTATTCACAACATTATTTTAATTAGAAATAAACCCGCGTAGTCAACCAACAAGCAATAACATTTGACATTTCGGAGACCTCACGCTACACTAGCGCCTCTAGCGGCGGATTCATACGCGATAGCCCTCATTGCAGTGCAGATACGAGCGCATCGCTAGTGCGGTGCGCACACGCAGATCACATACGCTGGGCGATATCGATGTTATTCGATTGATTCCCTAATATACCCACCCAAGTAGACGGCTTGTATGTTTGTGTACATACTTAACCATTTTCTTCCATGAATAATTGCCAAATTAAACGTCTTGGGAATAAAAATGTCGAGATGCTCGATGCAAAGTAAAAAGGGACACGATCACGATACAAAGGTGGTGGCAGAACACCAGCGACAAGTTGCAGCAAACTTGACTGTCACATGCTGAGCCACATACCTTTTTGTTTCAATTAAAATTTACTGTCATTCTATTTGTGTTTTGTACCAATTGTATGTTGACACAAACAAATAATTTATTGTGATAATGAAGAACACATAAAAGCAGTCAGAAACAATGATACGCAGAAATCAGCTATCGCGGAACATTTAATCGATTCGGGTCCTAATCACTGGATTGAGCTCCATAATCCACAAATCATCTCGACAGAACGCCACTACATACCAAGATTGGTCAGGGAAGCGATCGAAATAACCAAACACAAAAATTTCAATCGTGAGGACGGGTTTAAATTGTCAAGTGTCTGGAATCCAGTGGTTCGTATGTGCAAAAACCGTAAAAATCAAAAAAGTGTCGTTCCGCGATCGGATACTGTGAGTATTGTGTGTCGGGAACAGGTGCGAGTGAATAGTGAGAAAGTGACCAGTGGTAGGGGTATCGAGCGCAGTAAAAGACGACGTCAGAGGGTAGACCGATATGTCTGCCAATAACATCTACCCGCAATTACTTTAGTTACTCCGTGATCATGGCGCTTGCAACAGTGCCGAAATATTGGAGACTCATAAAAAACATGGTACATGGTAACAATCCCGTTAATAGCTATAATGTTAGTGACCATGAAAGTTTAAAACAATAAATAATTTATTATTATTATCTCCCGCTGCTTCGACCTGCATAACCAAGGTTCACCAGGCCATGGGTGGTTGATGGGATTTGTTCCCACGCCAGGTTGCATATTATCGCCGACTCAAAAGGTCCCGGGTTCGAATCCCGGCGGGGACAGATGTTTGTGTGATGAATACGAGCATTTGTACTCCAGTCATGGATGTGCAATATGTAATTCTAAATAAATATAGTTATATATGTACAGTATATGTAATCTATCCGTTGCCCTAGTATCCCATAACACAAGCCTATAGTGGTTACTTTGAGCTTTTGAGTAAGTATTGACAATATATATATATATATATATATACACATATGGAGCTAAAGAAGTTTCACTTCAGTCATGTGATCATAAGCACACTGGTTTTTTAGTAAAAACATCCAAACTTACATATATAGAATAGAATATATTTCATTAACCCATATTTACACATACAAATTCAAATATCTCAAGGCTCACAAGGACCCTACCTCAGCATTAGCTGATACGACATTGTGTCTATAAATTTGTCCTTAGTTATCTCTATAAATATACAAACTTTCAAATTAATAATAAATATTTAACTTAAGCAGTGGTCGGTCATTGGATGGGTGACCGAAAATCTTCTATCTCTCACTCCTCCGTGCTTCGGAAGGCACGTTAAGCCGTTGGTTCCGGCTGTATCTGCAGTCATCACCAATTCGCACTGGGCCCGCGTGGTGGGTCACGGCCCGCACTCCCTCATCCATCAATAGGTTCAGGCCTGTGCCTCAGCAGTGGGGACATTAATAGGATGATGATGAAGTATGAAAATTTTGATTTATAAAAACATACAATATTTATTAACACTTACGATAGTACAACTGCTTCAGTGTGTCGTACGTGAAGAATGAAACGCCCGCGTAGGGTATCACGCCCAGCACAGTGGCTGGGAACCCCCTGCACCGGACAAACAAACAAATGTAATAATATACGCAAGAGATAATTCAACCAATGCCGGATGCGGCCAAATTTATATTCAACTTTGTCATGATTCCCATTGACCCCGTTTTATTAAAATAATTCCCATTGACCCGGTTTTATAAAATAATTCCCATTGACCCCGTTTTATTAAAATAATTCCCATTGACCCCGTTTTATAAAAATATTTCCCAATGTCCCCAGCCAGGACAGCAGGAATATTTATCGGTATTATTATATAGTAAACCTTTTTTTTAAAGTTAGATTGAAGATCTTTACTTTGGGATAGAAATAAAAGTATTATCAGTGGCTCTTAAATGATGAGCTAACTAGTGTCTAATTATGAAATAATAATGGAAACAGTTTTGTTTCTTAGCGCGCATAGGAAGAAGCAATTAAATCTAGAGAAAATTTTACTAGAGAAAATCTACACGGTCCAGGCAGCAGACGGGACTCGAACCCGCATACTCCGGTATCATCCGGATAGCGGAGAGTTGCACTGACCATTATGGACTTGGTCCTGATCCGCGTGGATTTTTTCTTGTATTTTTTTTAGATTTAAACATCTAGATTTTTATTACTGATAACATTTATATAAAATAGGAAGTTTGTATATTCGATTCTCGTGTCTCGTATTCATGTATTCCAAGAGTACATACCGATGGCGAGGTATCAATTCCTTCAAACTAACACAGGCGATATTTTAATAAATGTGCAAAAATGGATTATTTAAATCTAAAGAAATATTTACTAGAAAAAAATCCACGCGGTCCAGGCGGCAGACGGGACTCGAACCCGCACCCTTCGCTATCCGGGCGAATGCACTGACCATTATGCTACCGCGGCCCTGACAGCCGTGTCGTATTTTCTCTAGCCTTTGGCTGCAAGGCAGCGGCATTTCTTCGCATTTTAGGTAACCCAAAATTAGTGTCTTTAGATTTAAACATCTAGCAGTTAAATCAGGGCTTGTAACCGGTTTCGAAAATACCAGTAAATAAAGGTTAATACCGGTAAATAAAGGTTAATACCGGTTTTTAATAAAGGTTTCGTTGGGAGCGCGTCCGAAATGAAAGCGGTACCTAAAACCTTAATAAACCGGTTTAATCCAGAGCGACACGTGCACGCGTCGACATTGCTTGAAATTTGTTTTGTTTGAACTAATCAAGTCACAACTTGTTAATGCTCAGAGATTGATATATTTATTGAAACGTTTACTAGCGTCTAGTGAGTCAAGTTATTCATTTTGTAGTTGTGTACTGACACACTACTTCACTCATTCGCTCTGTAGTTGGAAAGAAACTGACATAAAATCATTATAAATTTGAATTGAAACGGCGAAAGCGATCCGTCAGTAAGAGCGAACTGAAACCCTTTAAAACCGCTTAATTGATTCAAAACCTATTTGTTTTCGCTTTTTAGGAAAACCGATTTTTTTAAGGTTAAGGAAGAGCCAAACCTAAATAAAACGTTCCTAATGTACTTGACACTGATTGAGGTTTGAAAATTAACCGGTAAATAAGCCCTGAGTTAAATGCTTAAAACATAACTATGGATTATTTACAAAAGTTTTGGTGATTATTAAATTTTTTGTAAGGGTGTTGCATGCAGATAGGCAGAATTGCCGTGAGTTTATTTAGTTAGAACTAATTTTCTAATATTCACCGTTAAAATTCAAATTAGTGATTTCTTTATAACATGCCGAAATAGACCTAACAGTTATAGATATATAAAAAAGTGAATTCCTCAAAGAACAGTTATTCAGTTTAAAAGTCTTTAATTTATTATTGTCATATTTTTTCTATCGAATCATAAATGATATAATTTATAGTAATGAAATTGTAACTGTAACTATTTTCATATTTTATTTTAATTTTTATTATTGCGATATCAGTTTTTATTATGTATAAAACTGTTTTCATTATTTCTATGTCCGCATTGTTGTATGTGTGAGACGATCGAAATAAATTATTGGTGTCGATTCTGGCAGTATTCTCTAAACTAATATCTAACTAATATAAAATTTATATCAGTCTATCCTTTTTATTCTATATAGAGAATGACTACGATACACAGTTGTCAAATTTAAGTTTAGCTTTACAGAATCATGTTAGAATCGACATCATTATTATTATAATTAAATCAGACAGGTAGTATGAAGCTAAAGAAAGTCGTGTACAGTGTAGTGTTGTGCAGTGTAGTGTATCTTAGTCTAGTGTAAAGTACACATCCAGACACATTTATCGGCCCACTTTAGTATTCAACGGTTTGTAGCTAAAATATATGTTAGGTCGATGTTTAAATATAAAGAATATTACTAGAAAAAACTTAGCTACCAGTATGCTAAATTATGATACCGCGGTTCGATGGCCGTGTCGAATTTTTTTATCTTTTCATATTGTAGATAATTTACAAAGTCAAATGAATACCTTTACAAGTATTAAACATTCACACGATACGAAGAGATGGCGCTGCCGCCCTGCAACTTAAGAAAGGCTAGTAAAGACTTTGACACGGCTATCAAGGCCAGTCAAGTGCAGTCGCTCGGATAGCGAAGGGTGCGGGTTCGAGTCCCGTCTGCTGCCTGCACCGCGTGGAATTTTTTCTAGTAATATTCTTTAGAATAATAGTACAATTTTAAAACTAGAAGCAAACGAATATTTAACGAAACTGCGTAAAAACTTTTGGCTCAACGTAACTTTATTTCTATCTAGGGATCGCTAAACGAAAACTTAAACTGCTAGGGGGGCCGATAAATTTATCCGGAAGCGTATCATGGTCACCTGTAAAGCTTGGCGACCCCCTCCTCGGCGATGACCTTCCGGAAGACGGCCATCATGGAGCTGTACTCCCTCGCGCTGGTGACGGCCATGCGCGCGCGCGCCATGTCCAGCGGGTACGTGGCCGACTGGGACGTGACCCCGGCCAGCGACCCCGCCACCAGCAGGAGGGGCCCGTGCTGTCTGACGGGGGGGGGACAATGACACAATGACACAATGACACAATGACACCCTATGAGCGAGCATGGAGCTATACTCCCTCGCGCATGTCCAGCGGGTACGTGGCCGACTGGGACGTGACCCCGGCCAGCGACCCCGCCACCAGCAGGAGGGGCCCGTGCTGTCTGACGGGGGGGGGACAATGACACAATGACACAATGACACAATGACACCCTATGAGCGAGCATGGAGCTATACTCCCTCGCGCATGTCCAGCGGGTACGTGGCCGACTGGGACGTGACCCCGGCCAGCGACCCCGCCACCAGCAGGAGGGGCCCGTGCTGTCTGACGGGGGGGGGACAATGACACAATGACACAATGACACAATGACACAATGACACCCTATGAGCGAGCATGGAGCTATACTCCCTCGCGCATGTCCAGCGGGTACGTGGCCGACTGGGACGTGACCCCGGCCAGCGACCCCGCCACCAGCAGGAGGGGCCCGTGCTGTCTGACGGGGGGGGGACAATGACACAATGACACAATGACACAATGACACAATGACACCCTATGAGCGAGCATGGAGCTATACTCCCTCGCGCATGTCCAGCGGGTACGTGGCCGACTGGGACGTGACCCCGGCCAGCGACCCCGCCACCAGCAGGAGGGGCCCGTGCTGTCTGACGGGGGGGGGACAATGACACAATGACACAATGACACAATGACACAATGACACCCTATGAGCGAGCATGGAGCTATACTCCCTCGCGCATGTCCAGCGGGTACGTGGCCGACTGGGACGTGACCCCGGCCAGCGACCCCGCCACCAGCAGGAGGGGCCCGTGCTGTCTGACGGGGGGGGGACAATGACACAATGACACAATGACACAATGACACAATGACACCCTATGAGCGAGCATGGAGCTATACTCCCTCGCGCATGTCCAGCGGGTACGTGGCCGACTGGGACGTGACCCCGGCCAGCGACCCCGCCACCAGCAGGAGGGGCCCGTGCTGTCTGACGGGGGGGGGACAATGACACAATGACACAATGACACAATGACACAATGACACCCTATGAGCGAGCATGGAGCTATACTCCCTCGCGCATGTCCAGCGGGTACGTGGCCGACTGGGACGTGACCCCGGCCAGCGACCCCGCCACCAGCAGGAGGGGCCCGTGCTGTCTGACGGGGGGGGGACAATGACACAATGACACAATGACACAATGACACAATGACACCCTATGAGCGAGCATGGAGCTATACTCCCTCGCGCATGTCCAGCGGGTACGTGGCCGACTGGGACGTGACCCCGGCCAGCGACCCCGCCACCAGCAGGAGGGGCCCGTGCTGTCTGACGGGGGGGGGACAATGACACAATGACACAATGACACAATGACACAATGACACCCTATGAGCGAGCATGGAGCTATACTCCCTCGCGCATGTCCAGCGGGTACGTGGCCGACTGGGACGTGACCCCGGCCAGCGACCCCGCCACCAGCAGGAGGGGCCCGTGCTGTCTGACGGGGGGGGGACAATGACACAATGACACAATGACACAATGACACAATGACACCCTATGAGCGAGCATGGAGCTATACTCCCTCGCGCATGTCCAGCGGGTACGTGGCCGACTGGGACGTGACCCCGGCCAGCGACCCCGCCACCAGCAGGAGGGGCCCGTGCTGTCTGACGGGGGGGGGACAATGACACAATGACACAATGACACAATGACACAATGACACAATGACACCCTATGAGCGAGCATGGAGCTATACTCCCTCGCGCATGTCCAGCGGGTACGTGGCCGACTGGGACGTGACCCCGGCCAGCGACCCCGCCACCAGCAGGAGGGGCCCGTGCTGTCTGACGGGGGGGGGACAATGACACAATGACACAATGACACAATGACACCCTATGAGCGAGCATGGAGCTATACTCCCTCGCGCATGTCCAGCGGGTACGTGGCCGACTGGGACGTGACCCCGGCCAGCGACCCCGCCACCAGCAGGAGGGGCCCGTGCTGTCTGACGGGGGGGGGACAATGACACAATGACACAATGACACAATGACACAATGACACAATGACACCCTATGAGCGAGCATGGAGCTATACTCCCTCGCGCATGTCCAGCGGGTACGTGGCCGACTGGGACGTGACCCCGGCCAGCGACCCCGCCACCAGCAGGAGGGGCCCGTGCTGTCTGACGGGGGGGGGGACAATGACACAATGACACAATGACACAATGACACCCTATGAGCGAGCATGGAGCTATACTCCCTCGCGCATGTCCAGCGGGTACGTGGCCGACTGGGACGTGACCCCGGCCAGCGACCCCGCCACCAGCAGGAGGGGCCCGTGCTGTCTGACGGGGGGGGGACAATGACACAATGACACAATGACACAATGACACAATGACACAATGACACAATGACACCCTATGAGCGAGCATGGAGCTATACTCCCTCGCGCATGTCCAGCGGGTACGTGGCCGACTGGGACGTGACCCCGGCCAGCGACCCCGCCACCAGCAGGAGGGGCCCGTGCTGTCTGACGGGGGGGGGACAATGACACAATGACACAATGACACAATGACACAATGACACAATGACACCCTATGAGCGAGCATGGAGCTATACTCCCTCGCGCATGTCCAGCGGGTACGTGGCCGACTGGGACGTGACCCCGGCCAGCGACCCCGCCACCAGCAGGAGGGGCCCGTGCTGTCTGACGGGGGGGGGACAATGACACAATGACACAATGACACAATGACACCCTATGAGCGAGCATGGAGCTATACTCCCTCGCGCATGTCCAGCGGGTACGTGGCCGACTGGGACGTGACCCCGGCCAGCGACCCCGCCACCAGCAGGAGGGGCCCGTGCTGTCTGACGGGGGGGGGACAATGACACAATGACACAATGACACAATGACACAATGACACCCTATGAGCGAGCATGGAGCTATACTCACACACAACACTACAACCTCTACTACCTCATAATCAGTATCTTTATGTCCCCACTGCTGAGGCACAGGCCTTCCCAACGGATGGAATAGGGAGATTAGGCCACGACCCACTGTACAAATCCCAAATAATCTTTGAAAGGTGCAAGGATGATAAATATAAACCACCGTTCAAATTCAAAGAAATAAATGTATTCGAAAAGAATACCTTATTTTCTAAGGCTTATATAATCGAGTAAAAATCTCAACATCGCCATTCAGACATCACACTATGCAAAATGATGGCGCCATCTAGTGACCGAACAACACTTCCACCTTATCTATTACCTTTAAAATAAATAAATAACATGCATTTGGGGTTTATTGGCGTAAACACTCACCACGCGGGCCCAGTGCGAATTGGCGGGTGCTAACGATTGCAGATACAACCGGGACCAACGGCTTAACGTGCCTTCCGAAGAACAGAGGAACTCGCGATAAAAAAATTTGGTCGCCCATCCAATGACCGACCACTGCGAAAGTTGCTTAACTACATCGATCGCAGCCAAACGCGCTAACCACCTGCGCCATCGAGCTCCTCACTCTACCTATTTTGTTTGAATTGACAGCTATGACGTCACAATATGGCGCCCAGTCGGTCCTATTCTCAGTTGAAATAGTACAATATACGCTAGTACATTTATAAATACACTAGCTGACCCAGCCAGCTTCGTAACGCCATAAAAAAATAGGGGTTGGTGGTAGAAGGGTGAAAATTTAGGGTCGTATGTATTTTTGTATGATGTATCATAAAAAAATAAAAAAGAAAAAAACTAAAATTAAAAAAAAAATTTAGGGGTGGATTACCCTTAACATTTAGGGGGATGAAAAATAGATGACATCCAATTCTCAGACCCACAAACACCGCGACACGAGAATCTCTCATCTATTAGACAAGTCCGTCCGTCCGTCCGTGGTGCTGTTTCAGTGGCCAAACCGTAAGAGATAGATATAGAGAATATTTAAGTTATATGTTAAGAATAGTCTGATAAGACTGCAAACCGGATTTGAGTAACGCAGCACTTCCGGTTTTCGAGAAGTCACGAATTTCAAACGAAACCACACAAAATCTCCGAAGTTCTCAATTGATTATTTTTTATTTTTTTTTTTGGTGAACATTTCGTTCACCGGTTTGCTAGTTTTATATATTAGATATAAGACTTACCGCGCCACGTCGGGGTCGTCGACCCCCAGCGCCCGCTTCCACTGCTCGTGCGCCGTGAACTGTATGGCGGCGTAGGGCACTATCCGCGCCATGGTGGCGCTGTTCCCGCGCCATAGGGCCGCCGGGCCCTCCGTGCGGGCGCTGAGGGACAGGAACTGCAGCGCCGCGCGCCACGAGTAACGACTCTGGCTGTTATAATACCATCATCGTCGACTCAATATTTTCAATCTAACTTTAAAAAAAAGGTTTACTACATAATAATACCGATGAGGATTCCCGCCGTCCTGGCTGGGGACGATGGGAAACGTTTTTATAAAACGGGGACAATGGGAATTATTTTAATAAAAATGGGGCCAATGGGAATCATGACAAAGTTGAATATAAATTTGGCCGCATCCGGCATTGGTTGAATTATCTCTTGCGTATATTATTACATTTGTTTGTTTGTCCGGTGCAGGGGGTTCCCGGCCACTGTGCTGGGCGTGATACCCTACGCGGGCGTTTCGTTCTTCACGTACGACACACTGAAGCAGTTGTACTATCGTAAGTGTTTATAAATATTGTATGTTATTATAAATCAATATTTTCACACTTCATCATCAGCCTATTAATGTCCCCACTGCTGGGGCACAGGCTTGAACCTATGGATGGATGAGGGAGTGCGGGCTATGACCCACCACGCGGGCCCAGTGCGAATTGGCGGGTGCTAACGACTGCAGATGCAGCCGGGACCGACGGCTTAACGTGCCTTCCGAAGCACGGAGGAACTTCAGATAGAAGATTTTTGGTCACCCATCCAATGAGGAACCACTGCGAAAGTTCAAGCTCCTTCGAGCTCCTCAGCAGCAACTGATCTAAACTTATTCTGCGTTTATTCATAAGTGGGTATGAGTCAAACGTAATAAATATGAAACAGGGGGCGCCTGTTGGACTTTACTTATTTGAAGTTATACTTCTTTAGCCGCGTTATGAAAAAATGATGAGAGTGAAATTTTAAGATGCGCGCGCATCACTGTAATACAAAAGTAACATAATGAAGTTAGCCGCAGGCGCGTTATGAAAAAATGATGAGAGTGAAATTTTAAAATGCGCGCGCAACACTGTAACAGAAAAGTAACACCATGAAGTCGGCCGCTAAACCGCACATTCCTCGTAAGTCTCGAAAAAAAGCTTCCAACAAAATAGTAATAGGATCTCTTAGTCGCACATGTTGGGACGCTCGTCGCCTCTGATCACTGTTTTCATATTTATAATATTTATCCACATGTTTCTAATTTCTATATTCTTAACACGTGTTATAATGTTATACAAATGCGAAATTTATATGTGCTAATAAATTTTATTCAGTAGTGATTTAAATTGAATATTTTGATTATTTATTAAATTTTTCAAATTAAAACTGAACTTTATTGACTGCGTTGACTATCCTTTTCCAATCCTTTTATTATCTTATTGTAATTAATTATCTGCATGCAAATAAAAACTATTTTTTAATAATTCCAAAAAGAAGTATAACTTCTCACGCGCGTACTTAAGTACACGCACCCATATTTTTTTTTTCTTACATGGAAGGGGGGAACTAGCGAAAATAGTGTTACATAATAAATGAATGGCTCCTGATGTAGAAGAATATCATATTGTGTGCCTCACTTGGTCTGGAAGTTGATCTTGGCGCGGTCGAGCGGCGCTATGGTAGTCTTGGCCAGCGCCCCGGCCTAGAGTATATCATATTGTGTGCCTCACTTGGTCTGGAAGTTGATCTTGGCGCGGTCGAGCGGCGCTATGGTAGTCTTGGCCAGCGCCCCGGCCTAGAGTATATCATATTGTGTGCCTCACTTGGTCTGGAAGTTGATCTTGGCGCGGTCGAGCGGCGCTATGGTAGTCTTGGCCAGCGCCCCGGCCTAGAGTATATCATATTGTGTGCCTCACTTGGTCTGGAAGTTGATCTTGGCGCGGTCGAGCGGCGCTATGGTAGTCTTGGCCAGCGCCCCGGCCTAGAGTATATCATATTGTGTGCCTCACTTGGTCTGGAAGTTGATCTTGGCGCGGTCTAGCGGCGCTATGGTAGTCTTGGCCAGCGCCCCGGCCTAGAGTATATCATATTGTGTGCCTCACTTGGTCTGGAAGTTGATCTTGGCGCGGTCTAGCGGCGCTATGGTAGTCTTGGCCAGCGCCCCGGCGGCCGCGCCCGCGATCAGTGACGTCACCACCGCCGTGCCCCCTCCCACTCTACCCGCTCTGCCCGCCGACTCTGTGCCAGAACACGACCATACTAAATCTTACATTCAAAAAAAAGAAGATACGGCAATCGCGGGTCAAAAGTAACCCGCTTAAATTGTGGTACATGACCACAATTCGCTTTAGTCACAATTGGACATTCAAACACGCTGCATGTGCACTCAATGTAACAATATTGCGTATATTCTGTGTTGTAAAGATAAAAAAATGCCTTCGATGCTTTTATAAAGAACACAAATAGTTCTAGTACAGAAAACAAATTTCACGGCAACACTTTACATTAGTAAAACTATAAAAAAAAAGTTTTTTCAAAATCACAATATGTCATGAATGTTATTTACTTTTTCACCATTTCTTACCAAGAAAAGAACAACAATACAGCTCAGCCGCACAGCAGTCATTCGTTTATTACATCTAGAGTGAATCTGAAGCGTTCGGTAATGCCGCTCAGATCAGTCCAATGTAAATCTGTTTGCTCAGAGAATTTTGACCGACGAGAAAGGACACCCGGCATTTTGTGCCAAAGTTGTATACTTTTTTAATTTTTTTATCTGTGTTTCATAATTGGGTAACGTAGTCTGGCAATATTTGTCATCAGCAGCTAGCTGTCAATGTCAAATACGTAGGTTTGTCATCAAAAGGGTTTCTATATCAAAAAATATTAATCATTAAATAACTTTTTACCACGATTCACCAAATATAAGGCAAAAGTAGTTTTATGTAGCAAATAATTTTGGCTTTATTTTGAGACAAAATTCAACTGTATACAAGTTTAGTGCCGAATTCTATGAAAAGTGCCGGGTCTCCTTTAATATGCTATCTATCATGTATCTGTCATGTTACACAGTTTGTCTCTGCTTGACCAAAAATCCGTCCTCTCTGTGATGCAAGGTATTGATGGTAGATGAATAGGTCGCGGGTTTTCTATACGAACTGAGATACTTTCTAACGACGTTAAAATCTGCGCTCACGCACTACGCGACGGCGACGTATCGCGCTTCAGTGGAACGCCTTCAAATACGAATCCCCATTTTTTTTTATAAATTATCATTTATAAATACAATAAACAATACTCTCAGAACAATTTAATTGGATAATCGCTGTCATTGTCGATATAGACATTATTGGAGATAACGGACACTTTATAGCACGCTGTCTGTCCGATAACGATGTAGAAGAAGGCGTTTACGTCTTAGATTAAAACAAAAGAGGGAAGATACGACACGCTCATACTAGCATCAAATAAAATATGCTCCGACTCAACTATATAAACAACTCTCACACACGCACACGCCTGTAAATTAATATTAAATCGAGCGAGCGAGACAGAACTGTACACTTCAACGCAGCGCGAGCGAAATGGCGAGTCCGCTTCCGAGTCCGTACGGCTGAGCTGTATTGTTGTCCTTTTCTCGATAACAAAATGGCGATTACGTAAATAAAATTCACGACAAACCGGGATTTTTGAGAAAAAATGATTTTACAGTTTTGCCGAATGAAAAGTGTCGCCGAGGCATTTGTTATTTGATTTTTAACTATTTGTGTTCTTTATAAATAGGCATCGTTTTATCTTTATAACACAGAATATATTGTTACTTTGAGTGCATATGCATCGTGTTTGAATGTCCGATTGTGACTAAAGCGAATTGTGGTCATGCACCACAATTTAAGCGGTACACTTTTGAGCCGCGAGTGTCTTATCTATATTTCGGCACGAAATGTACCATGTTGGTTTTTCGATAAGCTTCTGTGAGGTAGTCAACACTACAATAAAGTTGTCACGTCCACTTGACCGGAATAGCGTATATTTTAAAGATTAAGCACTAAAGAAAAGTTTACTAGAAAAAAATCCACGCGGACCAGGCAGCAGACGGGACTCGAACCTGCACCCTTCGCAATCCGGGCGAATACACTGACCATTATGCTACCACGGCCCTATTTGCTGCGTCGAAATTTTCCTAGCCTTAAGCTGCAAGGGCAGCGCCGTCTCTTCGCATTGTAGGTAACCCACAATCGTGGATTTTTTTCTAGTAAACTTTTCTTTAGATTTAAAATCTAGCAGTTAAATGCTTCAAAATAAATAAAAAAGATTAACCACTAATTCTTCAGTTGCGCACTTCACGCGATGGTTGTAACACAAAATCACACCAATTTTATTTCACAATATCTACTATGAACGAATCTAAGAATAATTAAAATAAGAATTGCGTTTATTCACTGCGTTCTGCATTTGCACCTGATCAATGTTTTTAGCCTTAATCGTTTATTTATTACATCTAGAGCAAATCTGAAGCGTTGGGTAAAGCCAGAAACATATTAACGTGTCGTATCGTGTCGTGGAGCGCCAGAAGCACATCGGTTTCATACATTTACTATGGTTAGAGACATATTTACGTATCGTGTCGTGTCGACGCTTTAACCTCTCTATCTCTCTCTAACCCATAATAAATGTATGAAACCGATGCGCCAAGACACGCCACGACACGTTAATATGTTTCTGGCTTTATGCCGCTCAGATCAGTCCGCGCGGAGAAATAATAATAATACATTGTTATTGCACCGATGCATTCATACATGCAACTTTATCAAGCTTTATAGGGGTAATGACGGGGTGCAGTAAACAAAATTCTATTTAGTCCGTCAGTTAGATGATCAAAAAATAATGGACACGTATTTTTTCTTTGGGCAATCAACCAAAAAATGACAAAGTTATAGCGCGTCAAAGTTTGGGAGTAGGGGCTCGTGACGTCACTTTTTAGTGAATATTCGCTTAAAAGTGTACTCAAACGTGACGTCATGCGACTTTTCAAATCAATATATCTCTGCAATGTTTATATTATGTGAAAAAAGAAAAAATACGTGTCCAATACTTTTTGATAATCTACCTGATACACGAAGAAAAAAAAATACTCATCATTCCTATTGACTGGTTATTCAATCAACGTTTTCCAAGTGGCAATGGTAGCGGTTCTGGCGACAGATTGGTGTAATAGTGTCATGTACCACCTGGTTTTGTACCCTTGTATACCCTTCAACGGCCAAGTCACACAACATTAACTATAATAATAAAGAAATCGCAATAAGGAACCTTACACTTGGCACGACTTTGCCTAGATTTCATTACTTTTTAGAGATAAACAAGCAACTCCATCGAGACTTGGCTAGTATTTTACAGAATGCCTAACTAACTAACTGCCTCAGCTAGTATTGGAATTCTTGGCGTTGACATATCGAGCGACGTCCAGTTTCGGGATCATTTAGAGGGCAAGGCCAAATTGGCCTCTAAGAAGCTTGGCGTGCTCAATAGATCGAGAATGTACTTCACACCGGCCCACCGACTGCAGCTTTATAAGGCACAGGTTCGGCCTCACATGGAGTACTGCTCTCATCTTTGGACGGGGGCACCCCAGTACCAGCTTCTCCCTTTGGATCGCATCCAGCGCCGAGCGGCTCGAATCGTCGACGACCAGGACCTTTCCGATCAGCTTGATCCTTTGGCTTTGCGTAGGGATGTAGCTTCGCTCTGCATCTTCTATCGCATTTATCACGGGGAGTGTTCTGAGGAATTGTTCGAATTAATTCCAGCTGCTGCATTTCGCCATCGTGCATCGCGACAAAAATTTCATCCCCATCATCTTGATGCGTGGCTATCCACAACCGTGCGTTTTTGTCGAAATTTTTTACCACGTATGACAAAACTGTGAAATATGTTGTCGCCAGCAGTGTTTCCGGAACGATACGACCCAAAAACCTTCAAAAAAAAAGAGCGTACTTCTTCCTTAAAGGCCGGCATCGCATTTGTGATACTCCTGGTGTTGCAAGTGTCCATGGGCGACGGTGATCACTTACCATCAGGTGAGCCGTCTGCTCGTATGCCCCCTATAACATAAAAAAAAATGTTTTTGGTGGGATAAATTAATCTACGGTTGGTCGGGGCGTTCTGTTCGGCAATTTTCCCAGATTAATCTGTGATCACGTGATCAAAAATCAGTTGCCTTTGCGATGCAAATACCGAACGCGGTCATTTATTAGTATCTGCAGCCCGCGGAGTCATCTTTAATTTAAAAATGTAATTTTTATAAAAGTTTTAAGTCTAACTGCTAGATGTTTAAAAGTATTACTAGAATAAAAACGAATGTTCTTATGACCACAAGACTGAAGTGAAACTTCTTTAGCTCCATCTGTATGTATATCTAATATATAAAATTCTCGTGTCGCGGTGTTTGTGGTTAAACTCCTCAGAAACGGCTTTCCCGATTCTCATGAAATTTTGTGTGCATATTGGGTAGGTCTGAGAATCGGACAACATCTATTTTTCATCCCCCTAAATGTTAAGGGTAATCCACCTATAAATTTTTTTTTTCAGTTTTAGATAAAAATTTTTTTTTTCATTTTTTTATGATACCTCATACACAAATACATACAACCGTAAATTTTCACCCTTCTACCACCAACCCCTATTTTTTATGGCGGTACGAAGTTCGCTGGAACAGCTAGTGTATATATGTATATGTGTGTGTGTTTGTGTTTACAATATATACATGTATGTACATATACATATTTCATTTACTAGCTATAAGAGAAAGAAAGAAAGAAAATGTGCGCGCGCACTGCTTTCTCTTACTTATTTTCCCCACTCAACTCCCGTTCGCCTCGCCCGCACACTTTTCGTAACGCGTAACGCATTGGCCAGCTTACCCCCAAGTCAGACGTGCGTAAAGAGGTTTCACTTCAAAAATCCACGCAGTCCATATTTGAGACGGGATTTGAAAATGCATCACTTCTGCTCACGGAAATGCGCCGAAAGTGGAGAGATTCGGTTTAGAATCCTCTCTGAAACTTGAACCAGGGCTTGAAACCGGTTTCAAAAATACCGGTAAATAAAGGTTAATACCGGTTTTTAGTAAAGGTTTCGTTCGGAGCGCGTCCGAAATGAAAGCGGTACCTAAAACCTTAATAAACCGGTTTAATCCAGAGCGACACGTGGACGCGTCGGCATCGCTTGAACTTTGTTTTGTTTGAACTAATCAAGTCACAACTTGTTAATGCTCAGAGATTGATGCATTTATTGACATGTTTGCTATCGTCTAGTGAGTCAAGTTATTCATTTTGTACTTGTGTATTTATTTCAGCCGTCAGTAAGGGCGAAATGAAACCCTTTAAAAACCGCTAAATTGATTCAAAACCTATTTGATTTCGCTTTTTAGGAAAACCGGTTTTTTAAGGTTAAGATAGAGCCAAACCTAAATAAAACGTTCCTAATGTACTTGACACTGATTTAGGTTTGAAAATTAACCGGTAAACAAGCCCTGACTTGAACGGAGTCGAACGTTTTCTGGTAAAATGTTCCTTATATTCAATTCAATTTATTGCACTCATGTGGTTACATCGATGGTTACAAAATGCTTACAGTACCTAACATGAACCCTGTCAGGGTATCGCAATATACAGTACAGTTAAAGATAAAAATTACAAAAGAATTTAATTAATAAACTAACTTATGTATACAAGGAACCTAATTTGTATTAAACCACTTATAACTCAAATTATGCATAAATGTCATCTGATTCCATTTGTTTATATTTATTCAGTATGTGATTGATGTTTATTTACCATGATGCGTGTGGTCTGTCCTGTCGTCGTGCAGTATCGGCACGCGCGCCTCCTTGACGGCCATCTTGTGACGTCACGCGCCCCCCTCCCCTCACATGCCTGCGCCTCTGAAAACCGACGACCGACTGGGTCACATTATGTTCACAGTGGTGGGTTGACACGACTTCGAACAAATTATGTGTAGGGTGAACAAAAGGAAATCTACCCGAAAAATACGGGTTATAATTAAATAATTGTCGTTTACCCGAATTCCATTGGCACTCGTATTTCGGGTTAGCGGTCAAGTGAAATCGCGCCCTTATTATACAAACTTATCCAATCATAGTGCGGTACAAACATTCTGAGATCGAGTGCCGGTCAGGATTTTAGTTGTAAGTATAACTAGGCGCAAGTTTCAGGTGATACATAATTACATATGTTGAAAAATGAAATCCTAGGGTTTTTCCAAAAACTCAGATAATTAGACTAAGGCCGACATTGTTCAATCTCACTGTTAACGGATTTTAATTCTGTCTAATTATATTATCCGCGTTTTCGCAAAATCTCTAAGCTTTTCGCGAAAATCCTATTTATCAAATCGTCCTAGGACATAATTATCTTTTTACTATTAACTTTATCAAATTCTATTTTATTTAAATAATTAATATCAAATTCTATGCCATTTTATTCGGATTTTAATTCTGTCTAAATATATTAACCGCGTTTATGCAAAATCCCTAGGCTTTTCGCGAAAATTCTATTATTCAAATCTTCCTAGGACATAATTATCTTTTTACTATTTATTTTATCAAAAATATTAAAAAAGAAGTGTCCATTATTTTTTAACAGACCAAATAGAATTTGATTTACATCACATCCAAGGGCGGGCGAGCCGAGCATTTGCCCAGAGCGGCAAAAATTAGGGGCGGCAAAATTGACTTAGGGTCAACGGTAAAATTCTTAGATCGGGCCCTGACTACGCCATTCCTGTTGAAACTGTGATACAAGAAAATTAACTTCTTTTCACGTAAGTGATCAAAAAGATCAATTCAACATCTCTCGTTATCCAAATGTCAAGTGTATGATAACAGGCTGTTCTGTCGCGTGTAGTGTTATCACAAAACAATTTGTTTACTATATTATTAAAAAGCAATTTTTATTTCATCAAAGCTGATAAAGTGGGTATTATTATATTACATATACATAGTATAAAACAAAGTCGCTTTCTCTGTCCCTATGTCCCTTTGTATGCTTAAATCTTTGAAACTACGCAACAGATTTTGATGGGGTTTTTTTAATAGATAGAGTGATTCAAGAGGAAGGTTTATATGTATAATACATGCATAATATAGTAGAGAAACACTGATAATTTTAGAGGTTTTTAATGTAAGGTCGTAAATAAACACATTTTTTGCGCTTACATTGCAAACGCTGGCTGAACCCCACGAGATAGATCAAAATAATGTACTACAGTATTGTACACCTTAAAAAGGTCTACAAAAAAGTCCGCGATGGTATATATCTATCTCTTAAGGATAACCCACAATAACCAATTTTTATCCTATACTTTTTACGAGAAATAATAGATTATTTACGAAGCGATTTTAAGCAATATAACATTCATCCTTATCCAATTAAGTACCTTAAATACATTGTGCATTTAATATAGAACAATTTGGCCCTTTAACGCATATAATTTAAATGAATATTTTCGAAGATAATACAAATTTAAAATTCAGGGACATAGCGGTTCCGACGCTACCGGGCTTGGCGGCGCGTGCCTATTGTAATTGGGTATTAGAAAAATGTCATTGTGTATAATACAAGCCTGAGAACAAAAACTATAGTCTACACTGCAGCTTTACACCGAAGCGAAGCGAGGGCGGGCCACTAGTTACATATAAAAATAAATGAGGCCTAGGTGTAGCGTTTTGTTCATATCTATCAAATTACATAATTGTAATTTGATTAACAGTGGTGAGGCATTCAATTAAATTATTTTCCTGTCATACTGGACCGGGTGAAATATAAAATATAGATAAATCAGCCTGTACCTAACAAACAAACATATCATCATCAGCCTATTAATGTCCCCACTGCTGGAGCACAGGCCTTCCCTATGGATGGAATAGGGAGATTGGGCCATGACCCACCACGCGAGCCCAGTGCGGATTGGTGGGTGCTAACGACTGCAGATGCAGCCGGGACCAACAGCTGAACGTGCCTTCCGAAGCATGGAGGAGTGAGAGATAGTAAATTTTTGGTCACCCATCCAATGACCGGCCACTGCAAAAGTTGCTTAACTTCAACGATCGCAGCCGGACGCGCTAACCACTTGCGCCATCGAGCTCCAAACAAACAAACAAACATATAACTATTACAAATTATTTTCTTAATAAGTAATTTTTGAATTTTAGTATTTTTATTTTGTTAGTACGTAACTTCTTATTAAAATGTCGCATCACATTTTGAAATGTTGTTAAAAGTTGAAACCTTATGAACATGCATCAGTGATTCAGTGATGGAAAGCTCGCCTCCTATGCAGGTGGCCCGGGATTCTATTCCAAGCTGAGGAATATATTTTTTATTTTTTAAGCATGTAACTGCTTGATATTTAAATCTAAAAAAAATATAACTAGAAAAAATTCCACGCGGACCAGGCAGCAGACGGGACTCGAACCCGCACCCTTCGCTATCCAGCCGAATGCACTGACCAATTATGCTACCGCGCCCTGATGGCCGCGTCGAAATTTTTCCAACCATTCTTAAGCTTAAGCAGCTATTAGGAATATATTTTTTCCATTAACGATTTTAAAGTTTCACTTGCACAATATATATTTCATGAAATCACACCATTTTGCCAGTTGTCTTTTTCATGTGTTTAATTTCCCTTAGTCCTACCCGTATTTGACTGGTTGCAGGCTTGAAGTCAGTGCTTAGCACAGAACACAGAAAGAGGTTAGTAGCGCCTTATGGGTAGGGCAGGCGCTCCACTGTTATGTGTGAGCAAATGTTCATAACTTGACCAAAACTTGGTTCTAATTGCGTCGTTGCACTTGAGTGTGAATGCTGATTTGTTCAATGTCGCATTGTTTGATTGGCTATTATCTATCAAGTGGAAGTGTAGTGGGGACAGACCGTTGACATCATTTCTGTACACGGTCTATGATCACCCTTCTACGCTCTTTCTGTGGTCTGTAGTGCTTAGCTTGCATATTTTTTGATGATTTCATTACACCAAGCCCGAACGTCATTTTAACTGTCACATACAAGTACATCAAGGTGTACCAGGATGACTTGTTTTTTTAAAAAATAATAAAATTCCCTCTGTTATTGATAAAATTTTGTATGGCCACTGAAATCAAAGTTACATTTATCATTATTAATTCATGGAAAATGATTGCCTGCTTTTTAATAAAGTTAACAACTTCTTTGCCTCATCGTATTAAACAAGGTACAAATAAAAACAGTATGAACTTGCACAGTGTCATTCTTATAACAACAGAATATATTTAAGAGTTTTACGAACCTTTTGTTTTGTTTTTGTTGTTGTCAAGTTTTGGATAAAAAAAAAATCTTTTAGTTGAACACTTTGAATGTATCAAAAGACATTAAGAATTTTATTCAATGATTGTTGTTAACTGAAAGTAAACATAATGAAATTTTATACACTGAATAAGTGTAATAAAGAAGGGTATAAAATTTTTCAAAGCTTCTTTTAAAAATTATTTATGTTTCCTGAATTATTATATTTTCCTTAATTTAACTACTCAATGCAGTTCATATTTAAAAAAATACAATAGACTACAAGGATTCGTATGTTAATTAGCAAAACATTATCAGAAATCTAAGCATGAATGAATTATATAATTTAACAGACAGTGATTGGCACAAATCCTAAAATAAATAATGCTGCAATGCTCTGTTTATCTACAACTACTTTTAGTTATTAATCAAATACTACGAAGTTAAAACGAGTTTTTGCTACAACCTAAATCGCCCTAATCTTCAGGATTAAAATATAATTCAGATACAAATTGAATTTTTTTCTCATAGTTCAAAGTCTATTTATTGGCCTTGGAACTATTTCTAGAGACTCGCAGTACATGTCGGCAGGCGCTAACATTCAGTATAAATAATAAGCCAATTATTTGGTCCAAAATATTTTTTATTACTCACCAAATAGACCAGAGTTCAACGCACGACCAACTGGAATTCGTGAACTTTTTCTTAAAATCACTGGTATCGTAACACTGATTCCAATAACATAAATTTACGCTGAATTTTGTTCGTCAAAGTTTCGTATTTGTTTAAGTGTGGTTTATGGGATTTTTTTATGATAAAAAAATTACAAAAACATCACGCAACAAAATCGCACTTTGGTCTCCCACCACTTGTCATCCATCCACCAATTGACAGCTGACAGTGACGGCAGGACAGCTGATATTGTTTTTTTACGTTCTCCCTTTTTGGAAAGCCAAAAGAAACAATGCCCATACAGCCTAATCTTAAATTTTATTAATCTTCTTTTTTTAGATTAAAATGTCTTGTTTAGACTTAGACCTTGGTATCACCGCCACTCTTAGTCAAATGCATTATATTTTGACCAAATTTTGAGCGAAATTAATATAATAGTGTAAATTGTTTCTTTAATTTGAGTAATTTTCGAGTAGAATAAAGTTAAGCATTCGACTATTTTTTCTTGTAAACTCGTAAGTATAAGCATAGAAGCCAGTCTAGTGTTATCCAGACTTTTCATTTAATTTTATTTATAATAATAATAATATAATAATAATAACATTTATTTCAGATTATTCATCCATATTGGTTAGTAATAATTTTGCTTACAAATCTAGTGTTAGTAAATTGAATTCATAAAATAAAATTAGATTAAAAACAAAAACAAACATATTAATAATAAGACTAACAACTAAGGAGTCACCGCCGCTGTATGCAGATGGATCCAGCGCATAAGCAGCGGTGAATCCCAGCGTTCGGATAGCGCGCGCACGATACTGTTTGGGCTGATGATAGCAACGACCCACTACGCTTGCGCATTATTGCATAAAAGCAATCAGTACGCGC